CACAATATCTCAATATATAAAATATGCCGTAGAATGCTTTAACAAAACATTACCATGCATAATCTCAATATGTTATAAATATTTAACCTCATTTTCTAAACGTATACAAGCACAGATTCTTTAAAAGATAGAGCAATTGTTGTTGACTCAAGGTCAGTACTTCCATCTAGTGGCACTGTTAGTACATATTCCGCTTTTCTAGTTGTAACCTTGTAACAGTGATTGTTCAGGGCTGCAGTGAACTTACAGCAGTAACATTGCTGATATAAATCTAATAACAATAATCTAGTAATAATTTTATATATACACGTTACTCATTTATTTAAATGTAACATATTTTGCTATACCATTAGTAATTATTTTTGCACTTCGAATCTTTTTCTTTTAATCTCCATTAAATAAATAAATAAAAGGAAAGCTTTTTAGACAGAAAATAAAAAATCTAAGGGGTTGCGGTTCATAATCCTGAGAAACTAATTACTAATGAGTTATTTATACTTTATTTTTATTAGTTTATTCACAGTATATAGGCTAATAGGTAACACATTTTACAAAGTTTAACTGGTTGAATAATGCATAAATAAAATAAAACGAATCAATCAAACAAACAAATAAATAAATAAAATGAAAACTATTTAGAAATTAAAAATCTAAGGGCTTGCGGTTGATAATCCTGAGAAACTAATTACCAATGAGTAATCTTATTTACACTTATTTATTTTTTTTAATTATCTTTATTTTGTTTTATTTTATTTTAATTATATGTAGACTAACATAAACGATAGTCACAGAAATGTTAATTCACAGTATATAGGCTATTGGGTAACACATTTGTGACCCTGGAGCACAAAACCAGTCATAAGTAGCACGAGTATATTTGTAGCAATAGCCAACAATACATTGTATGGGTCAAAATGATCGATTCTTCTTTTATGCCAAAAATCGTTAGGATATTAAGTAAAGATCATGTTCCATGAAGATATTTTGTAAATTTACTACCGTAAATATATCAAAACTTTTGATTAGTAATATGCCGCTTCATAGATCATGTTCCATGAAGATATTTTGTAAATTTACTACCGTAAATATATCAAAACTTTTGATTAGTAATATGCATTGCTAAGGACTTCATTTGGACAACTTTAAAGGCGATTTTCTCAATATTTAGATTTTTAAAATTATTATTATTTTTTTTTTTGCACCCTCAGATTCCAGATTTTCAGATGGGCCTAGTTGTATCTCGGCCAAATATTGTCCTATCCTAACTAACCATACATCAATGGAAAGCTTATTTATTCAGCCTCTCAGATGATGTCCAGGGTCACATTTTACAATACAATAAAATAAAAAATAAAGTTAAATATAAATATGAATGAATCCGTGTCATCCAATAAGGTTCATCACAAATAAATACATAAATTCACGACGTCACCGACTTGGTTGCGTTGCGGAAGCGCGTCACATTGTTTACAACTCAAACGGATACGGGTTATTTGTAGGCGTCAGCATAGCCACGAATTCCTCAGCGTGACTTAATATCAACCACAATGTCTGTTTTATCTGCTTATGTATTATATTAATGTGTCACATATTCAAAGCGAGTCAGAGCATTGCAAACAAGGTTAGTGTACTATTCATAACTGCAAATTTACGTCACTGCACAGAAATAAAGTCACGAGTTAACCAAAAGCGTCTATATTTCAGGAGATACTATATATGGGATAAGATGTTCAACACAAAAAAAGTTTCTGTTTTTGATGTATGATTTGAAAACAACATTGTATTGATTCGTTTAGTACATTTTTTTTTGTTACCATTGAATTAGGCTACTAAACAAATTCCACAGACCTGAAGTATTTACAGTACAACAGAGGCTATGCCTAATATTGAGGACATTAAATGAGTACATATATATATGGAATATTTATGCAAATATTTTGCAAGACAGTGTTTCAAATATAGTATCAAATATATGATTAAAAAATATCACAAATCTCCTAGTCAAGATAATGTATCTCAATAAAGTTTCGTTACCACTGTTGATAAAGTTACACCGTGTTCTATGTCATAAATGTCATTTTCGGTTTCACAGAAAATTAAGTATTTCATACGGAAAACCAGACGCTGTCGTTCAGTTTAAGTTATGACAATGTTGAGCAGTAAATCCAACGAGGAGATCAGATGGATGCTGGATGATTATGGAATAAAACATGGTCCTGTGGTCGGTAAGTTAATAGTCACTGTAATCAGAATGGGGTTGTTGCATACTATTATTTTATTTAATTTAAATGTGTTTTTAATTATTTTTTTGTATTTTATTGTTTTAATTTTAGTTAATGTTTTAGTAATCTTGTGTTTTGTCATTTTTATTATAATTTTTATGTCTGCATAGTTGTCTTGTCTACATAGTTTTCGTTCGTTTTATTTGAGCTGTTTTAGTACATCAAGTTAAAAATAAATGTAAATGAAAAGTGTTGCTTTGGTAACTTGCTGATTTTTTAAAAATTCTTTATTTCCAATAACGTTTATTTTGCTTCAAGTATCCTTAGCCCTAGTCTACTATAATAATCCTGGATTGTTTTTTCTTCTTTTTATTGTCCTGCATATGATTTGTGTATATTAATTTAAACAGATTCCACCAGAGCCCTATACGAGAAGAAGCTGAGGGAAGCCATGACTAAACACAGAAGAACTAAAGCTCAATCCGACAGGACATTTTACAGGGAGGAGGGTAATTCAACACAAAACACGAGCATCTAGATGTAATGCCATATTACACCAATGATTTGAACTGATTACACTTTTGCCTTACAGAGGATGTCACCTATGTTCAGCATCGCAGACCTGTGAGTACTAACTCCTATTAAAACTAGTTTCAGACTTGTTTCCATGAATACATGAATAATGTTGCATTTGTGTTCATTTAGCAACGATACGTTGATGTGATCGACAGGTAAGTCAGTCTGAATATTAAAGCAGTTTAAATCATGTTATGCTAAAATACTGAAACTAACAAGCTCCTTTTGTTTTATTAGAACGTGGTCCGATTATAGAGGGATGGACTACATAGATGAGTAAGATGGCTTTTTTTGTGTAGAATTATACTGAAAGTGTGTCACCATCAGGGGAATTATTATTTTTATTAATTGAATGCATGAATTTATTTTGAAGGCCTGCCATATATAGGACTCAAGCTCCTTACCGTAATATGTCACAAGCAAGAAACTTGCCGCCAGAATCTCAAATCCAGAAAACACCAGAGAAAAGTTCATCACGCTTAGTCCCAGTCTGGCTACAGTTTTTAGTGTTTCTGATCATATCTGGTCTTCTGTACTTGGTTTTTATAAATATGGAATCAGCAGAGCCTGTCAAAAGACTGATGTAGATTCCGTGTGATTAAACGGAATCTTACATTTCTAAAACAAGCAAATATTCAGCACAATAGATGTGATTTTTAACATATTGTAGTGTTTTAACTTCTTAAATGTTGGTTACTTTTTGTGTGAGGTTTTATCAGAGTAATAGCCTGACACTGTACTCATTTGTGAAAATGAAGGAAGTGGGTGCTACAGGATGCACCTGTTGAAAAGATGACTTTTATGATCTTTTATTTTGTTCCTTGGTCAAGATACAACAATTGTCCATTGTAATGCTGCAATACATTTTACAGTACTGTATTTTTAGTCATTTCTTGGGCTCAACAGTTTGGTATATCACAACTTGACTACTACTAGAAAACTTCAAAGCTTTTTCGTATGAATTACACAAACATATTTTAAAGGATAAAGTTACGGAATTTAGTCTTCATTATTTGACAATAGGTAATAAGCTGATTTTCCATTGTAATATGTCTGAAAGTATCATTTTTGGATTTGGGTCGTACTCTGAATTATGTATTTGAATATGCTGGAGCCAAATGATATGAATGCCAGAACTGATTGTTTCTGGTGTTTTGTGATTTAAAAACTACAGGTTTTATTAAAAGGAACCTTTTAGATACATATCAAATTATTTTTTTAACAGTAAAAACACTATGCATGTCAAAATTGTGATTTTTGTTTTTAATGGCAAAATAAAAGTCTACAAATGTTATTACACGTACCAAAAACTGCAACAAAACAACCATTAACTCTCCACATTACAAGACATGGATGTAACAGGAAGTGACAGCTGTGTTTTCACAACTTTTTAAATATTATTTACTATTGTTTTTATGGGTACAAAACATGTATAAATGCAAACTGAACAAGCCTATCTGGGTTTGTAATCTTTCAGTCTACATATGACTCGGTTACATTTAGCTTTTCCTTTTAAATATGGAGTGCATATACTGTACTGTAGTGTTCGCAGCTGGTTTCTTGGCTTCACTAGACAATAGTAGTGCTGCTTCAAATATTTAGTGTATGCCTATAATTCACACTACAACCTTTATTACTATTACTGTTATTAATTATTTTTTATATTTGTAAATACAGGGATTATTTCCTGTGCTGTTTTAGAAATGTGTATTTGTTCTTTTGTCCGTGTAAGCATCACATCAGATCTAGTGTATAATGCGTTCAGAGCGCCCACTTTCATTTCAAAAAGAACAAATGAACAATCCAGGTTAAAACACAATTAATAATACTTTCATATCCCTGTAGTGACCTAATGCGAAAGAGGTTGTTCTTAGGCTGTCTGTCCCACCTGTGATTAACCAAACAGAAGAACTATAGTAGAAAAAACAATAAATATATCATTTTAAATTATAAAGCCCCTTGAAGAATACAAAGAAACACACACACACAAAAAAAAACCAAAACATTAACAAAAACAAAACAAAAACACAGTTTTACAGTCTTTACCTGCAACAATATGGGAAGACCTCAGGATGGGTCAGACATGGTACCTCCAAAAACTAAAAAGCCCTTTTTAACCTTGTTAGTGCAACAGCTTGTGTTGTAATGTCACCCCTCTTCAAGTCTAGTGATGTCAGCATTTACTTTCAAAGAAAAAAAATGTCCATCTCCAGTAACATTGAAAGAAAAACCTCCAACCAATGACAATGGAAATGTTTCTCTGTGACTGACAGAGAATTGCAGATAGTAAGAAATGGTGGTTCCTGTGGTTCTTCAAACTTAGATCTTCCCTTTGGTTTGGACAGGCCACTGAAACACCAACAAGCCACCAGTTTCTAGTTGCTGAAACAAAACAAAAAAAACATGCAAAAATCAGCACACGGATGTTACTTTTTTACATTATGCCTTCATTACTTACTGATTCATTGTCCCGTGCCTGTGCTTTTTCTCTCCTAAAGTAATACTGAGCAATAAAAATGTATTTAAACTAGAGTTTAAACTAGAGTTTTAATGCCTTCACACAAGTACTCATCAATATGGGTGTCTACCGTTTCCTTTCCGATTGTGAAACAATAGCCCAGACCAGAATTTCCACCTTGTAGACAAAGCGCATGTGTAAGCTGCATGTACATTGTATCGGGCTGCATGTGCACATTTTATTATGTACTGTGCTGCTGACAAAATTTTCGTCATGCGCAACCTACACATACCCTAGCGTAAGCATAAAAACTGAAGCATACTTTGGGCTTTATTCAAGTCTTAGTGCTTGTTGCCACAACAGATACAATTCACAACTCGTCGTGTTGTGCCTGATTAGGAAAAAAATAGCCATCCTCAAAAAAAAACAACACACAAAACAAATAAAAACAAAAAACAATTCACATGACCTTCTTTTAGAACTTCCATTACTTGATTGTCAAGGCAATGTATGTGTTGTCAACACCTGTAAGCAAAATATAACCTGTCAGTAAAAGAAACACAAATTATTAAATAGTTTTTGAATTCAGTTACTCACAGGTCCTGCTCTCTCGCTCCAGTTCAGTGGGTTTGCTCACTCTCTTGCAGTACACTTTGGCAACAATCAGAATGGCACACGTGGCCACCACAAACGTCAAACTGGACACCAGTAAACTGATGAACACCGGGCTCATCACCGGATCTACTTCTGACATTTCAATAAAACAGCAAACCAAACTAATGTCCTTAAAGTTGTAATAAAACAGAAAAAGCGACAGATCACAGATATTTTCTTCAGTATTGTGAAGTACATCCAAGTGTATAGAAGCCTGTTCCCGCCACGGAATAAAAAAAGGTAATTGCAACTTTTTAATCTCAGGTTATATCTCAATTCTGACTTTTTTTTCCTTAGAATTTTACATTTTTCAATTCTGTTTTTAATTTTTGTAAAAAAGGTAATTGTGACTTTTATCTCTGATTTTTTTCAGTGTTCATATCACGCAATTCAGATTTTTTTCCCTCAGAATTCTGAGTTTACAGCTCACAATTGTGTTCTTGTAAAAAATGTAATTGTGCATTTTTATCTTGCAAAATAGTCTGACTTGCGAGATAAAAAGTTTTACTTTATTTTGTGGTGGAAACAACCTTCCATACGAGTGTGATGAATTATTGTTAAAAAACAAAAAAACATTTAAATCAAAGAAACATACATGGATGAATTGATGAATATGAATTATTTAGTAAATAAATGGAATATAAAATGTGAAATTTCATTTTCATGCGAACTTCAAAGGAACTGTTGCTTTTATCCTGAATTACAGATGACTCTTTGTGCCTTTTGTTCCATTGGAACCAATGGAGCTACGATCAACTTAAGCTTACGATGCTTTTAGGAAACGCAGCCCAAGCAATTTTAAACATCCCAAGTCCCCCTGGGCTGAAAGCGCACAACTCACCTCGAATAGAGATGGGTAAAGGCTGACTCTCCCTCGAGATAAATGTGCGCTCTCCAGTCTGGACCTTATAGAGACAGCAGTAGTAGCCCTTATTATTGGACTGGGCATTGGAGAAGGTAAAGGTGACGGAGGGAGCGAGGGCTGGCAGAGAGTGCCGGATGGTTCCGTTGGGCCTGATGAGACGCAGCTGAAAGGATCCTCCTGGATACTGAGGCTGCATGGAGCAGGTGACGTTAAAACTGTGGCCCCGGATGACCCAACCCGGCCGGGCCTCAGGAGACGTGTTGTACCAGATTTGGGGAGTGTGAATCTCCACTGAGAATAAGGAATAAAGGTCAGTCTGAGACTTTTAGCACTCCATTACAAGTTTAGCAGCAGATGTGACTTACAGACTGTGATGTTAATGAAGTTGCTGTGTGGAGAAAATCCTGAGGGAGAGTTTCCCAGTTTGGTGTGCATCCTGTAGAGACAGCTGTAGCTGCCCTGATGGGAGATTTCTGAGTCTGACAGAGTCAGATCCACCGTCATTTGTCTGGGATCTGCTCTCTGGGTCACTAGCGGAGTGTCCACACCTCTTTTGTACAGATGGAAGTCAATGACGGACTGCCAGTATGGGGCAGTGCATTTAAAGTGAATGGCCTCTCCGGCCGAATAGGTGTAGAAGCGAGACTGAATTGACAAGGTGGGTGCTAGAAGTTTTCCTGGTTGGAGAAAAAATTATGAACAACTACAAACAAACACGGGATGCGTAAAATAAATAAAAATCTTTCAAACGCTCTCGTACCTGTGCACTCCACTCCAGCATCCTCACTGTGCGTACACACATCATCATTGAGGGTGCGTTCACACAGATCCAGGGCAAACTCGTCACCCGAGCATTTCACATTCCTCCACAGCACTTCTCCACCGGCCCGTCCGAAACGAGCGCTGCCTGGAATGTCTAACACGAAGCCGCAGTCGAGCTCTCTACAAACCACTGCGGCATCCTCCAGATCCCAACCACGCTGGCACACGGTGCCCCACTGATGCCCATGACGCACCTCCACTCTACCCGAGCACCGCTCACCTGCTTTTTCATTCACAAGTCTGGTGATCGGGTCGTCTGTGGAAATAATGGGAATGAACCAGTGTTGTTATCCTTAGCTGAAAGTAAAACCATTTCAACTACCAGAAATGATGACTACTAAAGCGGAAATAAAATAAAATATAAAACAACAAAAGTCTATAAACTTAATAATCGAATATACTAGAATTACTAAAAGTTAGATTATAAACTGACATACTGAAATAAAGCTAAATAGAAATATAAAAAACCCAAAACTAATAAAAACGACAAAAGCAGATAGCAAAATTACTAAAACTAAAATGAAAATATACAAATAAAAGCTAATTCAAAATATTAATAAATACTATAATTGCATGCATATGAATGAATCAAATCCATATTTTTTGATTATTGATCAGTGGCTTAGAATAGTACTTTTCAAAGTCCACAGAAACCCCCCCATACCAAATTAATACAATTGTTTGTTTTTTTTACTTTCAAATTGGATATAATTTTTTTCTTTAGTTTTTTAAACTAAATATTTAGTAGTCACTTAATATAAAGTATATATATCTTCCAGAGATTAATTTACTACAGCAATTTAATTTTGCATGTATCTTCAGTTATGCTTAATTTATTTCGCGCACAGTATAAATAAGTCTCTATACATTGAAAATAATCTGCTTTTATAATTTAGGAAGGGGACAATCATATTTGAGAGTCCCTGACATATAAAACCCCTACTGTAGACAATATCATAAAGTCAGTAACTCACCAAAGGCTTGAACATCTTCAACAGTAACAGTGCATCCTGTTAAAGAAGACAAAAGTTAAAGGCACGTTATACTCTTGACATATTCATTCTAAAATTCAGAAATATTTTGCATGTTTTTAGGCTTTTTGGTTATTTGCAACTGTGCATGGATCAAATGTACCATGGTTGCAGCTGCTGACAATGTTCAGGTCTCCTATAATACATATTTTTAATAAGAAAGGAATACATTTTTACTAACCAAGCATTACCAGGCCCAGAAGAATCCTCGACATTGTAGATTTCCCATGTAACGCAAGCGCCAGGGCTTTAGGCTCATTTAATATCTAAATGTCTCTGTCAATGTCAGCAATCCAAAAGCTGAGAGGAGGACCAGGAGCAAGTTGATGCATAGCACTTCAGTCTACTCAGCTAGCTGGCTAACTAGCACTTCTCAATGCATAAGTTGTTCCTGTTCACCTCCATGTAATTGATACAAATACATTATCTATCATACCTCATGCTTCAAAGCATAGGCTAATAGTCGATAGTAGCAAATAGCACATAACAATTTAGACACAAAAGCAGTAGAACCGGGCGGCTAATATGCTAACGTTGCCCTAAACTAAAGAGAGCGAGATAAAAGATATACCGATGTATTTGCAAAGCATAATCGAATAAATCTGTAGTCAGTAATGCTTTGTGGGTTGGTGTTTCTCGCGCGTACGGTATTCCCACAAACAGCGTGATAATGCAAACTGGCGACGTTCCATTTCGTAAACGACTCGTTCTTTTGAATCGGATCTTTTCAATAAACCGCTAAAACCCAAACCGAATCAACGGAACGAAACGACTCACAAGAGCGTTTGCAGTGAAGCGAGGATTTGACTGATGGATGGTGCGTGAAGTTACTTTTGATTGTATGTCGGGTTTAATAATTTAATTATTAAATTACAGCTAATATTTACATCAAAAACTGTTATTCATACAACATGTACATGAATGTAACATTGTCGTAAATGCAAATTCTATTTCGTTTCTAAATGACTCATTCTCATGTGCTGAAACATGGCAAATGACTCATTAAATTACATTACCACCCTTATTAATAAACGTAATAAACAGCATGTATTGTAATGCACACGCCACGCCAGGGTGTCAAGGACTAACGTTACGTGATGGCGTACGACGTTACGTCGGACGCACAAGAATCACGGCCCGCGGGCCCAACGTGCACGCTATCCATGCTAAATTCTATGTAATAGTCATTTCAAGATTATTTAGGGCAGACAGGGTGGATAGTATGCACATTGGGACGCAGGGACGGAATTGTCTTTTTAACTGATTCTTTGAAATAAACTGTTCATATGAGTCGATTCGCGGTAATGAGTCAGACGTCTCATTATTCAGATGAGGAGAATGTACTGTAGATGTTTTTACTGTTCTACGACGTTGCGCAAGATCTGCGCACAAAAACGTTCACGCTGTTTTTGCTTAAAACGCCGCAAGGCTTAAAACAATTTTAGGCTTAAACGTGGAAAAACACATTCAGAGACAAAATTTAACGACGCTATAAATCTAAATAGCCTATCGCTCAGCAATGAGATCTACAGTAGCCTACTACAATTTTATGAATCAAAATGACAATTAAAATATCACCAATTAGTATTAGTTGGAACATTAGAACTATAACTTTTATAATAAGGGTTGGTGAACAGTTTTGACAACTATTCAGGGGTAAGAATTTATGTGAATAAGCTTGTGGCGACATCAAGTGGATAAAATGAGAATTACAACACTTACAGCTTTACCCTTAACTGTCCATTCATCCTCCCCAAATTTTGTTACAGTATTCATTAATCTTTGTTAGAATTAATTAATAAAAATAGAACTGTTCAGTGTTTGTCAGTATTAGCTCAGGTCCAACTTTACAACAGATATTTTAAAAATGTATTAATTTATACTTGAAATTAATAAATAGGCTACAATAAACAAACAAATATAAACTTATTGTAAAGTGCACCTGATATCAAGACATTGACTTTTGCAAACAATACAATTTTACAGAAAGCTAAAGCATAAATATATAAAACATGAATTTAGAAAAATTACAAAAATAAAAAATAATAATTTTCCCAACTCAAGGTGGGAGTCAAACAAGACTTCAAAGTTTGAATGATATATTTGTCATGCAAATATGTTTGTGAATTAAACCAGAAAACACAAGTTCAACGGCTCTTGCTTGTCCTTGTTCATTTCATGTTCCCTATTCAAATCGTGCAACTTTTAAATAATTTCCCTCATTTTAAGTGGATCCTAAATTCACATAGTTTAAATATTGTGACCTTGGACCAGGTTATCACTTCAATGATATTTCTCGTTAATATAATAATTTAAAAAATAATATTATTAAAAAATAATATTAAAATAATTTAATAACAATATAAAACATACTCAAAATGCACTTTTAACGTCGACCAAAACAGGTTTATTCTACTCTTTTTAACCAAATGGTAAAATCTACATCTTTCTTGAGTAGTGCAAGTTTTTAGCCCATTCACGTGCATTATTCCGTTTCTTCTCTCACCGACCTACTTCTGTTTAATTGGATAAGCATCAGTCTCTACCTAGAGAGAGAACGAGAGCGAGACCGGCTGGACCCACAAACCGTTATCCACCTGCAAATAAAGCGTTCATGGAATCTGCACATTCCTCGCTGACGTCACGGCGGATGGAATAATAGAACAAACGTCGCGACTCGCGCGAAACAAGCTGTCGCGCTCTTCTGTTATGCTGTTATAAAGTGCACTTTGGAACATTTCCTCGCGACAGCGCTACACGCGCGGAATGTCCCACGGAAGCGCAGGCGAACAACAGGTGGATTCCGAGGCCAATCCAGACCTGGAAGTAGCCATACTTCTGTCTCTCCGCCCTTGTGAGTAACCATAGCAAAGACACTGTAAAATCCAGCGTACCGGAAAGAAGCTGAATAACAAGCTCGCGATATGGATCATTTCAGCGGTGACGCGACATTGGGAGCATTACGGACAAGATTGACCACTCACACAGTTTATTCGGGATTATGTCACTTTACATCTGATATCGTCTTCTGATACACAGAGGCTGTGTTATTTCTATAAGAGAGTGTTTGTATTCTTTTGGAGTTATCATGCCTGTCAGTAACGGATCGGTGATGGATTTGCCCTCGGAATATGTGAAAGTAAAGGCCCATTACGGAGGGTGAGTGTTGTAAACTTTTACAGGGTTAATGTTTTAAAGCTGGCCTGCTGTGTTGTGGCGTCAAAGGTCGGGATATGCCCGACGTTTGGCAGTTTAATGTAAGCAGAACATGTTTGCAAACGCACTTCACCCCCACACCTGACAAACTTTGACATCCTTGAATGTTTTAATACTTTTTCAGCGTAAGATCGTTTTTAAACAGCATATTTTGTGTTTTAGAGACGTTGTCAGCTGAGGCATTTTACAACATTGCAGTTTACAATATTAGACATGTCGTAAAACATCCAGGCCTTTTCTTGCCAATAGTAAGAAATGAGCAAATAGTCTATTATTTTTACATTTCAATTTTTAATATAGGCCTATTCTTAATCTCTTAAATATGAAATGTTGCAAATGATTTTTAAAGGTGCACTTAGTTATGATAATTAAAAAGTTTTACAAATAAAGAAATGATCAATATTTTTGACAAAAAACCCCCCCAAAACATTAAAAGTATGAAAACTAAAGCTGTTTTAAAGCTGATGGGTGCCACCATATTGATATCACATGACATAGCTATGCCATACAATTGACCAAGTTACTGGTATGTTTTGACCAGCTAAAAAAAAAACACTTACTGAGTGCATCTTTATGCAATATGAAATATTGTTGTGGGCTGAAGGTTGTGCTCTTATTGCCACTTGTTGCTCAACACACCTCTCTTGTTCTATTATATATAATATGCTGTTGCATACTTCTTTGAAGAGGATTTTTATTAAGGCAAGTTTCAGTTTTCATAATTCATAAAAAATAATCTCCTAGATTGCTTATAAAAATACCAAAAATGCCACACATGACTTGAATTGACTGGGCTGGTTTTGACCCCCACTGTGGCTTCTTACATTATAATTTTTTTTTAAAACAACAGTGAATTGTTTTTCTTCTTGATGATACTCCACTGCCTTTAAAATCTAGGCTATATATTTTGTTTAGATGTTCTTGGCTAAAAGTGGCCATGATGTAAGTAGTCAGGACAGTGTGAGATAACACAAACATGCACTGTCTGCGTACATCACTGTGAATCATTGTTATTAATCACATCATCACTCAAAGACGAACAGCTTCAGAACACAGCGGGTGATATCGCCCACCCTTTAGTCAACAATGTGAATGATACAGATTCATTTCGAAACCTCAGTGTCTAAGTCGTAATAGCATTCTTAAAGGGAAAGTTCCACAAAAAGAAAATTGTCTTGATTTACTCACCCTCATGTTGTTCCAGACCTGTATGAGATTCTTTCTTCTGCTGAAGACAAAAGAAGATATTTCAAAAATGTTGGTAACCAAAGAGTTGGTGGTAGCCATTAGAAAAAAATACTGTGGAAGTCAATGGCTACCAGCAATCGTTTGCTTACCAACATTCTTTTGTGTTCAACAGGCGAAAGAAATCCATACAGGTTTGGAATAACTTGAGGGTAAGTAAATGATTACTTTTTTAACTAAAGTAAAAAAAATTTTTTGATGAATAATGAAAATAAAATTCTTTCATTATTTATGAAAATTCTGTGACCCAAAAATATAAATTCTGTCATTTACTCATTAATTTCTTTTGGTGAACTATCCCTTTAACCCTTATCTTGGTGACAACTGGTAGTAATATTAACTTTAACACTATGAATTAGAGGAGAGCGTACCAATCAAATTTGGCCGTTTATGTAATATTTATGCTGTTTTACATGAGGAAAAATGAAATCAGCTTTGCATGATTGGATTTTACTCTCTTTGTTTGAAATGTAGTATTTAACTTCATGACTTATTTGGGTAGTCAAATAATGAGGAACATAGATTCTTCACTTTTTATTATATTAATAGTCATCGGCTGGTTGTTTTAAAAAATATGAATATTGTATAAGCATTCTGTAGATTAATGCATGAGATAATGCACCATAACTCATTTTTGGACATAAATGTGCTTTACATATTATGTCCTGCTGGCTCGGTGGGTGGAGATACAGTAGACCTTTGATTCAAAAGCACAATTACCTGATGGCGTGCCAACGAACCTGCTATAGGAAGTGAAGAGTTCCTCCATGTCTGTGGAAGTGTGAATTCCTCTCTTACATGAGTGTGTAAAGAGCTCTCCGAATTTGGGTCAGGCTTTTCGGAGCGTTTTGAAAGCCTTGGTGATTTCCACTTCTAAAAATATTTTGGAGGAAGTTAACACCAGGCGGGACAGAAATCTTGGTGACTGGCTGGCAACCTGAGCCAGGCAGTTGCCTAGCAACAAGTTATAAGCCTCAATAATGGCTTTTTTTCACAGATTCCAGGCACTATTTATTCGAGCACAGGCCTCTAGGTTTCAGTCCAAGACGTTTCATTGTTGAGCAATCAAGAAAGAGATTAGACTGTTTTAAATAGCTCATCTCAGAGAGGGGGAATTGCTGGATCCTCAACATTGTTGACCCTGTTAGACACCTGAAGGGTCACATTTTGTAGCTTTTGTACATTTTGAATAGGCAGAAGTTTGTCATGCTGGTAGAAAGTGCTTTAAGCTGTTTTACCATGCATGCATAAAATGTCCCTGTTACCTGACAGATACTGAAATTGTTGTGTCATTGACAGCCCTAGGCGATGCAAGCAGCTCAAAAGTGTCAGGGGAGAGGCCTGGACTTTTTTGTTAGCCAGTCAGAAAAGCTTTCTGCTTGTCAATCATTTTACAAGTTTAGG